CCAGCCCCTAAAAATATAAGGTGGAAAGTTGATTAATATATGCATGCATGTTGCTCACTGTTTAGGGGAAAAAATGGTAAATCCTTCTATACAAAAAATAAATCCCAATGTAAAAATAAGTAAACCATAAAAAGTAGGGTAGAAACCTGACATGGGTGAGGGTTTTGTTCTTTTTTTTATTTTGAGATGGTCTACTATGTGAAGTATTGTTTTGTCCAGCTAATTTTAGACATTGGCATATCCAGCCCTCGCCTGTAGTCCCCTCTCACCTGGATGTCAGCATCAGACTAGTGAACAAAACAAAAAGTTCCAATGGTGTCATTACCATCAATGAAAGGGCTGGTTTACTGGAGAATCTAAAAGATAAACCATATTTTTCTCATATTCACCTACGTACTGAAATGATCTCGATTTAAGGGTTCTGCACTTGTTTTGGTGGCATTTAGGGAGGAGGCTAAGCATTTGGATTGTTTCCAGGGTTTTTCTTCATATATTTTTGTCTACACAATTAAAATTATAGTCTGGCTGTACAGTGGAATATACAGTACAGCTATTGTGAAGAATATAGAAGTATCAATACAGAAAGCTCTCCAGCATATATCAAGCGAACCAAAGCTATGGGTAAAATTCCATGACCTGCTGTACTGCTGTGTTGGGTGGATCATATGTATACATTGATATATACATAAATTTGGAAAATATATATATTCATAACAAGCTACCTATGAGGACTGGGACTTTTCATACTGTTTTAGTGTTTCATCCACAAGTGTAGGTAATTCTTTATATATTTGTGTGTATATATATAATTTGTATATATTTCATAAACTATATCCTAAAATTTAGTGTTGATTGGGTTGGATGAGAATAATAATTTTATGGTATCACATACCTTTCTGAGTGTCTGGGTGTTAACTAAAGTTTATTTTGTGTAGCTGTTTTACTAAACATTTTACTCACATCTGTCTTAAATCTCTGGCCAACTTTGTAGATTCTAGTTTTACTAGCAAAATCCAGTTTAGCAGACTCAAGTTTCTTGCCAGGAGTCACAAACTATTTCAGTATTCAGTTGAGTTCTCGTCCAGACAGTCTGAGTCCACACACAGCATGTACCTTTAGTTCCTGTACACACTCTACTACTGACTAGAAAGGGCTCTGGGAATTCCTAAGAATGATTGTCACTAGCTGGGTGTGGAGGCACACACCTGTGATACCAGGGCTGAAGGAGGCTGAGGCAGAAGGATTTCAAGTTTGAGTCCCACCTGGGCAACTTAGCTAGACCCTGTCTCAGAAATAAAATGGGCTGGGGATGTAGCTCAATGGTAAAGCACCATAGATTTGATTCTGCCCCCCCAGGTTTGAGTCTGTCAGTTTCATAAAATAAAAATGAAGATAATAATCTCTTTGTTTGAAAGACCCCTTCCAAATTTACAAAGCACTATGTGAATAGGAGATTTGAGTCAATAAAATGTATTTTTACCCAGAGCCTTCTTTATTCACATAATAAATTCAGGTGCTTTAACTTTCTTCAGGTAGCATCTGTAAAATACAAGCTTTAACAGTTTTAGTTTAACTATTTTGAATATATTTGTATGACTCAATTTTGATGTAGTACCTTTGAAGAAAGGTGTAAAAATTTGAGGAAATATTCAGTGTTTCTAACAAAATCTCATTTCTATTTAAAGTTACATACATACATATAAATATATATTGAGGTCTTGCTGTGTAGCCCAGGCAGGCCTCCAACTTACAGCGATCCTCTTCCTTCATAGCCTGCCAGTCCTGGGATTACAGGCATGTGCCACCTCACCCGGCTTAAAATATTTTTATTACTAATTGTATTGTTAACAGGATGTTTTCAAGACTTGCTATTAAAATCCATTTTAAACAAATGAGCAAATTCCTGTTTGTAAGGATATATATTCTGTATGCTTCTTTTTCAATAAACTTACATATTTTCCGTTCTCTATAGGAACATCATCTTCAGCGGGCTATTTCAGCACAGCAGGTATATGGAGAGAAGAGGGATAATATGGTTATACCAGTCCCGGAGGCAGAAAGTAATATTGCTTACTATGAATCTATATATCCTGGGGAATTTAAGATGCCAAAGCAGCTCATTCACATACAGCGTAAGTAATTGTTCTTTTAATGATTGTATTTTCTATATTTATCTTTATGTAATTTGATACCTTTTTCATTCATCAACATCAGCTTGAAAGTTATTAGAGCCCATTTTTTACTTTTTAAAATTTTTCAATATTTATAGCCCTACTAATGTGTCTAGATCATTTTCCACTTTTAGGATGATTTTTAAGATGTCTTTTATTGATTCTTGGCAAAGAAGCACTTAAGATAGATTTTTAATTTGATTCCAGCATAGGATCTTGTGCTACTTTAGACAAGATAAAGAATATGCCTCAGAATAGTTTCCTTCCTGTTTAGAATTAATAATTAAAGAATGTCTTGGCAGCCTATATAGTGATACACATGCAATCCCAGCATTTGGAGAAGCTGAGGCAGGAAAAAAGTGCTAGAGATGTAGCTCAATCTTTGTCACAACTATTTTTCTCTGCTGTTGTAGGGCAAAAGCAGCTATAGAGAATATATAAACAAATGGACCTAGCTGTGTTTCAGTAAAATTTTATTGATAAAAACATGATAGGCCAGAGTTGGCCCATGGGTCATAGTTTGCCAACCCCCACTCTGTGTTTCTACTAACAGTGAGATGCTAGTTTTAACAGTTTTAGTGTTCTAATTGGGAACTTGTTTCACTTGATAGTAGATAGGTGCTTGATTACACATGATCTTTTTTTTTTTTTTTAAGGCAGGGTGTCAACTATGTAGCCCAGGCTGGCCTTGAACTCACTGTGTGTTCCAAGCTGGCCTCTAACCCTCGAACTTGGGGTGATCCTCCTGCTTCAGCCACCCAAGTGCTGGGATTACAAGTGTGTGCCACCACGCCTGGCAGACATGTTCCTTTGATAGCTACCATATTTGGTGATGAACAGCTGAAGGCTGTAGACTTACTATATATATACTACTATATATACTACTATATATATACACTACTATTACCTTTCATTCCCCCAGTCCTCAAGTAGGTAATAACTTGAAAACAAATAGTCCTCAAGTAGGTAATAACTTGAAAACAAATAGTAAAATTCCCATAGCTTTCATTGTTGTACTGTGGGCATTACGATCAAGGGGCTTTTCCAGATTTAGATCACTTTTGATAATATGGCCATTTTAACAATATGATTTCTATTGATCCAAGATCAAGAGATGTCTTTTGGTTTTCTTTCATTTTTTTCTTAAGAATTCTGTAATTTTCATTATAGTAGCATTTCTCCTTCTTGGTTAGGTTGATTTCTAGGTACTTAATTATTTTTAAGCTATTGTGAATGGAACTGTTTTCCTGATTTCTCCCTTCATGGGTTTATTGTTGGTATACATGAACACAGTTGGTTTTTGTATCCTGACCAGCTTATTATCTTACAAATGAAGCTTTTAGGTTAAAGCCAGATTGGGGGAAAAAGTACATCAATCAGTTTACATTACCATTACTGTCAGAAGAAAATTTGCGTTTCTTTTAAGACATAGCCTACTACAATAAACATTTTACTACTAACTGTAGTGAGTTAGATGTCTGGAAAGTCAAAAGGTAGTATATTGAAAAAGGAATTGACCCTGCTGACATTGTAGTCAAATAATAATGAACTGGCAGCAGAGTTATAGTTCATTTGGGAGGAAAAACTTTTAAGTCACTACAAATTTGACGTATCTAGTCTTTAGGAAGTTGTATACATTTTAGAGTATTAGTAAAGACAATGCAGCTAAATTTGTGACATAGATTCATAGGAGGTTGCAAAAACAATTGAACAGAGGTATTCACACTTCCTCCAACCTCTTCCAGCCTTAACCTCAAGCACAACTATAATACCATTTCACAACCAAGAAACTGACATTGGGCTACACAGTCCATGAAGTTTATTCAGATTTCAATAGTTATACTAGTACATGTGTGTTTGCATTTCTATGCATGATTTTCATATGTGTAGCTGCTTATGACTACCACAAAGAAGATACTCAGCTGTACCATCACCTGAAGACTCCCTCTTGCCATTCCTTTATAGCCACGTCCATCTTTTTCCCCCATCCCTAACAACTTGCAAACACTAACCTATTCTCCATCCGTAGTTATATTGTTTCACAGTGTTACATGAATGAAATCGTGTAGTATGTATCCTTTCCAGATTAGCTGTTTTTTCTCAATTTAATGTCCTTGAAGTTCTTATTATGTATATCAATGATATTTTCCTTTTTGTTGCTATGTAGTAGTCTATGATGTGTATGTACCAGTTTTTGGAAGACATTTGGGTAGCTTCTAGTTTTAGATGGTTAAAAACAGAAATAAAGATTCATATACAAGTTATGTGAACATTAGTTTTTATTTCTCTGGCATCAGTATGCATGAGTGTACTTGCTGAGTCATTCATTTATAATTTGGACAGTAACTGCCACACTATTTGCTGATTAGATGGGTCATGTTATCACCAGCTGTGTATGTGTAATCCAGTTTCTCCATATCCTCTGCATTTGGAGTTAATAGTTTTTCATAGTCTTTAGTAAAATGATCATGCATATCTTTTGCACATTTTCTTTTTTGTTTGTTTTGGGGTTTTTTGCACATTTTCTAATGTATTTGTTTTACTGTTGAGTTTTGAGGGCATACAGTCGTGTGTGTGTGTGTGTGTGTATTCTAAGAAACATTTGGAAATATTTTTTATGAAAAAATAAAACATCTTCATAGCCAAGTAAGAGAATAACAATAGTTATTACACTCTGTATCATTACCTTCAAAGTAGTTACACAGTACAAAACATAAACCAAAAAGATTCTTACATAAAGGAAATGTAATACAAATTTTCTTTTCTTTTTTTTTTTTTTTACAAATTTTATTTTCAGTGAACTAAGATAAACTTAGTATAAATGAAAGAAATTAGCATATATTTTGAAATAGTTCTAAAACAATGGACTACGCAGTTTAGGGAAGTATTTGAACCTCTCTAGCATTTGTAGATTCTATTGAGAATTTTATGTTAGACAATCATCCTGTAGTTTGCAAATCCAGGTTTTTAAAAAAAATCAGGATGCCTTTAATTTCTTTTTCTTGTCTTATGATAGAGGATGGAACATTAGTACTATGTTAAAATAAGAGGAACAAGAAGCTCAAACACTTTTGCCTTGTTTCTAATCTTAGAGAAGAATTCAGTTTTTTTATTATTAAATATGCTGTTAGCTGTAGATTTTAGGATGTTTCTTCTCATGAGATTTTAAAAGTTTTACTCTAGTCCTAATGTACTGAGAATTTTTATCATGAATAGGTGTTGAATTTTGTTGAGCTCATTCTGCAACAGTTGATACCCTATACTTTTTTCTTCTTCAATCTGTTAATATGGTAGGTTACAGTAACTGATTTCCAGATACTGAACTAGCTTTGTATACCTGAAATATATCTCACTTGGCTAGGAGATATATTATTATTATTATCATTATTATTTTTTAAAGTGTTGAACAGAATTTTAAGATCTCATAAAAAGTTAGTAACATCTCTCATGATCATCTGTCATGTCTGGTTTGGGGTATCAGTAATACGGTGTCGTAAAATAAGTGGGAAAGTGTTCCCTCTTCTCTTTTTCACAAGAAATTATGTAAAATTGATTAAAATTGGTATTGGCTTTTAATGTACTAAAAATAACTGAGAAAAAACTAACAATAGTGTAAATTTTCAAAGATAAAATTGGATCTTGACTGCGAGATGATCCAGTAAGTTACTTATGAAAGTACATCGCCTTGAATTCTTTAGGAACGCTCGCTGTAGTTACATATATTTGTGTGTAATTCTTTAGGAGCCATGTATATTTATAGCGTATATATTTCTTCAGGAATTTTATAAACACACGAATGATTGAGTGACTAAATGAATGAGAACTTTATACATACATGAATGAACAAACGAACAAATGAACTGGCTCATTTCAATTCCCGTAATTTCTAGTTTAAAATTTCTAATGTTGAGAGTGCGTCTCTGAGAGGAAAACAGACCTTTTCCTACTACTAGCAAGAGCAGCCTGGACGGGTTGGAGAGGACTGCTCTCCCTCAAACCTGTAGCCTTATCGTTCCTGGCCACGCCCCGGGAGACCGGACCGGTGCCTGACGCTCCGCCAGGAAAAAGAGGCGACGCAGGTGATGGCGGAGACCGGTGAGGGAAGCGAGAAGTCGCCCCAGCCGTCGGAGGAGGCGCCCAAGTCGATGGGGCTCCCGATCGCGCAGAGTCCGAGGTCGGGCAACAGGAGCCGCCGCCTTCCATTGGGGGGGCTAGACGCAGCCGCAGAGTTGGTGGCCACCGACTGCAAAACTGGCGCTCCGAATGGGGAGGAGGTCCTGGAAACCTGGGGCGCAGAGCTCCGCGTCTGAGGTGCCGGGAAAGGGAAAGGCAAGGCGAGGAAGCAAAGGCTGAAAAGTGCGCCATCACCTCTGTAGCGGTGGAAGAAGAGGTGGGGTCTGAACTGGTGATGGCGCAAGGCGTGGAGGAGGAGGCTGTGGAGGCGGCAGTGGAGAAGGAAGCCCCAGTAGGTGAGGAAATGGAAGTGGCGGAGGAAGATAGAGGGACAGGGGAGGTGTAGGGGGCAAGGCCCTGGCCCCTAAATATGAATCTGCGCATGGATCCTCTGGAAGCCATCCAGCTGGAACTGGACACTGAATGCTCAGGCGGCAGGGCCTTCCGACAGCTGGAGCAGAAGTTCGGACGGATGCGTCGACATTACCTGGAGCAAAGGAACTACATCATTCAGAGTATCCTGGGCTTCTGGATGACCGCCTTTAGGAACCGCCCCCAGCTGTCTCACATGGATAGGGGCCAAGATGCAGACATGTTAAGGTACGTAACTAATTTGGAGGTGAGGGAACTCCGACATCCTAGAACGGGCTGCAAATTCAAGTTCTTCTGTAGAAGAAATCCGTACTTCAAAAACAAGGTGATCGCCAAGGAGTATGAGGTCAGATCCTCCGGGCGAGTGGTGTCTCCCTCCACTCCAATCACATGGCGTAGGGGACGTGAACCCCAGACCTTCATTCGCAGAAACCAAGACCTCATCTGCAGCTTTTTTACCTGGTTTTCAGACCACAGTCTTCCAGAGTCTGGCAGAATTGCGGAGATTATCAAAGAGGATCTGTGGCCAAATCCACTGCAATACTACCTGCTGCATGAAGGAGTCCGCAGAGCCAGGCGTCGACCTATTTTAATACGAGAGCCGGTCGAGATCCCCAGGCCCTTTGGTTTCCAATCCGGTTAGCTTCTACTTTAGGGAATACTCCTGCACAAATGCCCCTACCGCCTCCTGCTGGATTTAAGCTTAGGCAAAAGCAATGGTATGCTTTTTTTTTTTTTTTTGGTTGAACTCTGTATCCTCTCTCTTCTGGATATTCAGCTCTTTCAACTTCAAGATTGAGACTGTTATGGACATACTTCTTAACTAATACTTGGCTTCCATGCTCTTCTGTGTTAATATCCGATGCTGCATGACAATAGTTCACACTACTTCTAAGACAAGCCAGTGATGATGTAGGTTGCATTACCTTTACACTGCGTAGACCCTGTTTTTCTGAGAGCCTCTGATTTTACTGCCACTTGGATTTCTAGCTTTCTGTCCAGGAGGCCATTCTGCTCCTCCTGCTCTGCATCCAGCAGTTTAGGAGCTCGGTACTGGGCATTAATGATGTCAAGGGAGAGTAACAGTGAACCAGTTTTTCTGTGATTTACGCTACTTCATAACTTTTCCCGTACCACTTGTTACCTTCTAATGTTGCCTGCTATTTGCGATGTCAACTCCTTTGAGTGTTGCCAACAACTCTGTCGCCCATATTAACGTTTTCCTCCTATTATAAAGAAAAAACTTTAAAAAAAATAGTTTAGAAACATCGGAAAAAGTAGGCTTTTTTGTTTTGGCTCTTATTTCCAGAGTAGAGAGGTTACCATAAGTCAATAGACTTAGAGATCTGATTTTCCTCTCTCCTTCCTTCACAACTCCTCATGCTCTAACAAATGTAGAGGGCTTAAAGGGAGGCATATTTAGTTGGAAAGAAGGGCAGATTACTTTACAATCAATAGAAGAGACTATGATGGGTGCTCTTAAGTAGGGGAAACTGAACAAAAAGAGGCAGAAATGAGCCAGGTAAAAATTGGGTTGAGAATGAAGACTGGGCTGACAGAGCTGGCAGTCTTATTCTATCAGTGGTAATGGGAGGAGATATTTTCTCAGGTTTGAAATAGAAAAATTGCAGGAATTTTGGAGTGTTAAATATGTTGCTTAGGAAAGGGTTCTTTAAAGAAACAGTGCAATTTTGAATGCTTTTCTTGTTTATGTGAATTGACAAACATGGAAGATTATTCTGTTGTTATTTCATTAATACTTGTTATTTTCTGTTAATGCTGGAAAAATTCAACTATAGCTTTTTTTTGCTTTTTTTTTTTAGCTTTCACTTGGGAACATTTGGAAATAATTGTACTTTCCTGTACAGTATTGAGACTTAAGTGAATATTCTTAAAGAGTTTTCAGGTTCTCTTTTCTGTTAAGCTGTATTTGTAGCAACATAGTTTGGATGACGTGGTCTTTATCAGACTTGTGAAGTTATTGTCTTCATGGAAAAATAATTCACAAAAAATACGTGGCTTGATTGATTTTCTTGATAATTTGTTCTGGTAACAACTTAGTGGATGTGTCTCTTTTCTTTAATTGCATTAAGTACCTGTGAGATTACTATGTTAAATTAGAAATGTACTATTGGCATATTTGTCTTTTTTTTATATTTATGATGGTAGAATAAAAGCATAAAAAAAATAAAATTTCTAATGTTATACAAATGTTTACTTGGAGTTTTTAAATTAATGATTAGTATTCCCTGAAAAGACATGATCAATTATGTTTTGAGAATTTGCTTATTATATTCCCCTCTCCATCCCTAGAGCCATAATTCATATTACTGTTTGTAGGCTCTGCTTGTCATATATTAAATATTTAAATTATTTTAACCCATTTTCCAAACTTATTCATTAAATGTTATCTATTAACATTTCATCAAACATTAGCTTGGAAAATTCTATCACTATTCCTGTCTTCACCTGGCTTAGGAAAGAAATCAAAATTTCTCCCAGATCTCTTCAGGGAAAAAAAGCCCTTTTACAGCCACCGTCCCCTTTAATTCCAGATTTAGGTCCCTTCTGATCTATTTCACTGAGTGCTGTTTATTATCTAGAGAGCCAAAGGATCTTAATATTGTTTCTCTTTTGAATGATAGTCTGCAGGGCTTCTAGATTATGACTAGGATTTTTCCTTCTTGGGATAAAACACTTCTGCCCTGGATAGTCAGGAACAATTCTTTTCTTTCTCTTCAATCCTTGCACTTGGGTTTCAAGGAAACCTTTTTCAAAGGACAGTCGAGGATGTATGTTTTTATGTGCATATATGTGGATGGGTAGATACATGGGTTTTCATACGCGTGTATGTGTATGGATGGATAGAGATAGCTTGATAGGTAGGTTTTTTAACTTCTGTCTTCTGAAGGGTCAAAAAAGCAAGTATATTTAGTCAAGAGCTGAATGATACAACATGGAAAGCTTGGAGTTCAAAAATCATTTTTACGATTAGGATCAAGATGGAACTATGTAAGAATCAACAGTGTGTGCTATATATATTTTATAATCCATCTCCCTTTAGGGAGATAGACTGACAAGGTCAGTCTAGGATTAGGGTTACTTTTAGTAGTTGTCTTTTTAATATCCTTTAGTCTGGAACATTTCTAATGCCTTTGCCTTTTACAATAAAAGACTAGCTGGGTCTAATTTTAATTGACAACTTAATTAGAAGAGGTGATTGTTTTGTTTTTTATGTTGTTGTTGTGGACTCTTTTCTACTTTGAACATATTCAGTAATAGGACCCAAAAGTCTGAAGCAAAACTCCTATTTGGGGGACTGTGATAAATACTGTTATATCTTTTTCAGCCCTGGTGGAGCTGAGAGTTGGAAGCCACAGGTTCATCTGATGCTAAATTATAAAGATCATTGGCTGCAGTTCTTCGGTCAGATGAAATCCGAAGCAGGTTTTTAGATGTTAGCATTGTTCTAGGGTTTTAATATTCTATATCTGAACAAATACCCTGTTATGTAAGATTTTAGATGTGTTTGTACAGACAGAATGAAACTCCTCTTGCAGTGACTAGTGGACTTTGTTAGATCCTTATTAACTTTAGTGGGAAAGATATTGAGCTTCTTGATTCATACAACAAAAATCTTCTTTTCCAGTCTTGAGTCAAGTCCCTCATAGGTTGGATCTGGTATGTATCATTGGTGATGCCATGTATACCAGAAGTATAAGTGTATTTTGATGGAAGAGTAAAGGATAACATAAGTAACTTACTAAGGTTGTTCCATTTTTATGACTAATCTTTTGTGATTGTGATTTGACATATGATCTAAATAAAAATAAATTTCATAGTGAAGAATGTCAAAGTGTACTATATAAGTGAATTCCTAAAAATATATAAAATAGAAGCTTAAGAAAGGAGAACATTGATTGTCCCTATTGGTTTAGCTTTCCGGATTATGTGTATCAGCTCTAATAGAACTTTCTGTAATAATGGAAATATTCTGTAATCTGTGCTATCTGGCACAGTATTATCCACATGTACATATTTAGCATTTGAAATGTAGCTAATGTGACTGAGAGAGTGAATTTTTATTTCGTTTTATTTTGGTGGTGGTAGGGATTAAGTCTAGGCAGGGCTTTTGCAATGATTACATCCCCAGCCCTTTTTCCCTTTTTGTTTTGAGACTTGGGGTCTTCCTAGGTGGCTAAATTTGACCTGCCTCAGCTTCCCAGAGTGCTGAAATTATAGGCATGCCACCACCACATTCAGTTGAGAGACTGAATTTTAAATTTTTATTTAATGCAATTTAATTAGCCACATATGGCAAGTTGTACTGCATTAGACAACACAGATATGGATTAATTTCGTTAGGAACAAAAACAAGCAAGTGTTTTAATCTAATAGATTTGATCCAGTTTAGAATCTCCAAAAGCCTGTTCGTGTAGCAATGACATACAAAATGAAATCATGAAAAATCATTGGAGGGCTTCTTGTTGCAAGTAATACAGGTAGAGATGCTAACGTCTAGAGATTTTTATAAGGTCTGAATGTTCATTTGTTTTAATTAGGAATGTTATGGAATTGCTACAGGTCAAAATGGAAAATAAAACAATGAAATAATACATTTAATTCTACAAATATTTATTGGATTCTTCCTCTAGGGCATTTACTACATTAAGCTTGGCAATTATTTGCAGCCAGTTTCCTGTCACACCTGTTACAGACTTCACTAATAAGTGACTGGTTGGTTGGTTGGTTGGTTGGTTGGTTTTTTCCATTTTTTTCCCCCCACCTAAGTAACCATGGATAACATTAGAATAATTTTCAGTTGAGTACAGCAAGCAGAGGTGACAGAGAGAGGAAACATGTCACCCTTTCTTCACTTGGAGATGCAGAGATAGCTAAGACATAGGCCTCCCCTCAAGGATATCAGTCACATTTTAGGAGACAGACATTCTTAACAAGTAAATTATGAAGTATCTGCAGAAAATATTATGAAGAAAGGGAGTGATCTAGAACAGGGTTTTTTAACCTTTGTGCTACAGAGTTTAGGTATCATGTTTGAATTGCATGTTATTTATGCAAAAGCTGATTGTTTACACACCACATTTTGTGGGGAGAGGGTTCATAGTTATTAAAAAAGGAAAATTGGTTAGGAGACATTTACTAGGTGAGGGACAGTCAAGAAAGGATTCCAGAGAAGATATTTGCTGATTGGATGGGAGGTAGAAAATAGCTAGTGTAAAGACCTGAAGTCATGAAATAACATGCTATGTGATATAATACGAAATTTGATGTTACTGGATCATATAATACTTAACAACACAGAGAGACTAGATACGAAAGACTTCATATCATAGGCGTTTTCTTGCCAGGTTTAGTAGAAAGAATTAAGCCAAGGGAAAGGTAGGAGACAAGTTCTGATACCAAGCTATTTGATATTTTGCTTTTTAAATCAATATGAACATAGCTTAATTTGATAAATAATTGAATGGCATTAGAAAATAGAGTATAGAACAGTGGCTCTTGACAGATTTAAGAAGTAAACCTCACATTCCCATTACTGTGATAGTGAAACAAATCCTCAGGGGGAAACAAATCTTGCCAGGAATCCGCTCACTGAGCAACAGCTATTGTGAAGTTGCTGGTACATGAGTTTTGAGCGGCAAATGTGGCACTTCAGCACGTTCACATGGTCCAGCCTGTACATTGGTTGGTTAGCCTCCTTATGTTCTTTGTAATGTGCTTCTACTTTGTTTGCCTTTAGGGTCCCCTCTGATGTCTTTTATTAGTTTTATTTATATTCATAGTAAAGATAGTCTTTCTTTTTTTTGGTACCAGAGATTGAACTCCGGACCTTGCGCTTGCAAGGCAGGCGCCGGAACCACTGAGCCAAATCTCTGGCCCAAGAGATAGTCTTTCTTTTTTTTTTTTGGTACCAGGGATCAAACTTGGGTCCTTGCGCTTGCAAGGCAGGTGACAGAACCACTGAGCTAAATCTCCAGCGATAGTCTTTCTTTTAACTTTAAATGTGGGAGACATAGCTGTAAGCTTAGATTGTGACTGAAAACAAAATCCAAAAATCTTTCTTTAGAAAGGTCTTGCTTTTATTCAGACATCCGTGAGAGGTTTTTTTTTTTTGCTTTTCTTTTTTTTTTTTTTTTTAAATCAGTTGAATTCACACAGTAAATGATTGCTTATGGTTTCTTCTGTCAGCTTTTAGTTTGGATGCTGAACAGCCTGATTATGATTTGGATTCTGAAGATGAAGTATTTGTGAATAAATTGAAAAAGAAAATGGACATCTGTCCATTGCAATTTGAGGAGATGATTGATCGTCTGGAAAAAGGCAGTGGTCAGCAGGTACAACTTCTGTATCTTAAGTGTGCCTGTGTAAATGTTTGTATTTATGAAAGCTAAGATTGAGGGAGGCTAAGCTCGCAGTTTGGGGTTAAAAAGCACGCACTCACATCGCACCTCTCCTACCTCTTCCTGACCTGTCTAATCTTTAAGTAGTATGTTTAAATTTCTCTGCCTGACTTTCCCCAGATACAAAATAGAAATGATGAACATCATAGGATTATTGTCAAAACTAAGTAAATACTGTGTGTGAAGCATCTAGTTCAGTTACTGAAATGGATAAGGTACTATATATGTTTGTTATTTGTTAGTACTGTTGTTTTGATTTTGAATACTTTTGATTCCCCACATATGTATTACATGAAAATGACATAATATTTTACATTTAGCCAGTCAGTCTGCAGGAAGCCAAACTGCTACTAAAAGAAGATGATGAATTAATTAGAGAAGTTTATGAATACTGGATTAAAAAGAGAAAAACCTGTCGAGGGCCGTCTCTAATTCCATCAGTAAAACAGGAGAAGCGAGATGGTTCCAGCACAAACGATCCTTATGTGGCTTTTAGGAGACGCACGGAAAAAATGCAGACTCGAAAAGTAAGTAAATCTGTGTACTTAAAAATTTTTTCTATTTTAAAAATTATTTACAGTCATTAATATCTTAATTCTTTGATTTATGTTATAAAAGGCTTTCTTTACAATTATAAGGGGAAATATTTAAGCTGACCTTCAGATTTATTATGGAGCTATTAATGATATATTTTGATGATAAATTTACTTTAAAAAGTCACATACAAAATTTGATTTCCTGGTGATCCATGCTTCCTTACAGTGTAACTCTGCTCATAGCACCACTGCTTAGAAGTACTTATTCATATTAAATAAGCAGCTTTATATCTGCAGAATCGCAAAAATGATGAAGCCTCTTATGAAAAAATGCTTAAGCTGCGTCGAGATCTGAGTCGGGCTGTCACTATTCTAGAGATGATAAAAAGAAGAGAAAAGAGTAAAAGGGAGCTATTGCATTTAACACTGGAGATTATGGAAAAGAGGTAAAACATATTTTAATAGTATCGGTAATGTTTTATATGAGTTGTTTCTTGAGCAATTATGGTAATTGCAGAAATATCTTCTTTTAGTAATTATAATAGACTGTTTAAGTTTGGGTGTGGTATTATACTTCATATAATATTACATGCATTCCTGTCCTTATTTTTTTTTAAAGTGATGGGGCTTATGAACAGTAAAATATGTCAGGTATTTCCATTTTCATTTGTTCTTATTTGAGTTGTGTGCAGGGCTGTGAAAGAGAGAACATTCATCAGTTCTAAAGCTTTTGTTTTATTCACTTGATATTAGATCCTCACCCACCTCCCCATACTGGTTATTGAACCAAGGGTACTCTGCCACTGAGCTATATCCTCAGCCTTTGTTAAGTTTTTGTTTTTGTTTTGTTGTTGTTGTTGTTGTTGTTTTTGGTACCAGGGATTGAACTTGGGTCCTCACTCTTGCGCAGCAGGCAGCAAAACCACTGAGCTAAATCCCCGGCCCTTTTGTTAAGTTTTTGACATAGTCTCACTAAGTTGCTAAGGCTACCCTTGAACTTGTGATCCTCCTGCTTCAGCCTCCCAAGTAGCGGGCCTTATGGCATATGCCAACACACCCAGCAACAGTTGGGTTTTTTTTAAATAGAAAAGTATAAAAGGAAGGAGGAAAGGCATCTTAACACTCAGTCATTCAATGATGTACATAATGAAAACCTCAGGCCTCACTGCCCTCCCTCTGAGTCCTATCCAGAGAGACGCATCATTGTTAAATCTCTTGTGATTCCTTTAAGAAAAATTAGTTTTATAACACAGACAATTCTAATCAGCAGAAATTCTCTGTACCACTTTAGGCATTAATTCCAACTTCTCCACCAGGTTTGTCACCAAATTGCTAAATCAAAATGTTGACTTTTGGTTTTTTTCCCTGTAGTCATTATGTGCCAAAATACAACTATGAGCCAAAAAAGTAGAAAGAAGAAAGAAAAGGAATTATTTAACTGTAACCTTATGTCTAATTGATGTCATAAACATATTCTATTCAGGTATTAATGGTTATACAGATATGCCTTTACATAACTTAAAAACTCCTCAAGCTTTATTTACAGATAAAAACTACATTTTTGTATAATCAAAGGATACAAACTTACAGTTATAAAATGAATAACTGGAGACAGACTGTATATACTCTGGTTGATAGTGTAGATGTTTGAAATTTGCTAAGAGTACGTTTTAAATAATCTTATCACACAGGGTAACTGAGGAAATGGATGTGTATGCTAGCTTGATTGTGTTGGTCCTTTCACAATATATATTTATCAAATATTGCATTATAGTCTTTGAATATATACACTTTTAAACGTTCTTTGTTTAAATTTCAGGTATAATCTGGGTGACTACAGTGGAGAGATCATGTGTGAGGTCATGGCTCAGAGACAGCCAATGAAACCTACTTACGCTGTCCCCATCATTCCCATTACTAATAGCAGTCAGTTTAAACATCAGGAAGTGATGGATGTGAAGGAGTTTAAAGTCAATAAGGTGATAAAAGTTTTTGTGACAATAGTATCTGGTAATGGCGGTTGTATTTTATCATTAGAATGAGAGTTAAATACATACAAAACCTACCATGAAGCATGATGTAAAACTGAAATGATATTGGTATGTTATAAAGAAATACAGAAGTTTTTTGTTATTTCCTTATCTTATAAAAGGAAGATTTTGTTACTTTGTTGATAGAAGGAATATTTTCATAGTTGTAGGATTATGAGCTGTTGAAATAATTCAAAGTATGTAAGGTTAGGGAGCAGGACTTGAAATACTTCCTGACACCATGAGTTTATCTTGCCCTTTATGAACATACTAGTGTATAAGTGTATGTAATAAAAACATAAGGGGGTAATTTAGGCATCTGATTTTAATAGTTTGTAATATAGGTAGTGTTTTAGAAATGGAAGTATTTTGACAAATTTCCTCGGTAACCAAATATTCCACACATTGTGACGAATACAGTTGGTGAAGGAAAATAAAATCAGTGAAGGAAAACCTAAGAGAAAGAAAGGAAGGCAGTTAAGTGACAGCTTCCTGAAAAACATTTATCTGGGGAGGATTATTTTTTTGTATGAAATTTATCATGAAACTTAAAATTCACTCTTCCCAGTTCAGTTTGGGGAGTGGGTGAGTCTGCCGTCAATTTTGGTGTCTTCTCTGGATTATTTTAATATCACCTCCCTGCAGTTTTTTTATTGTGGTCACACAGAACTTCAGTTGAATGTACAGCTTGTCATACCTATTAGAGTTAGGACATCTGCAACCTCAACTTTTTTCCTGTCATTTAGAGCAATGCCAGGGCCCATTTTATGAGAAAACATGGACATTTTGATTTTTTAAATTGCTGGGAATTTGGAAGCAGCCCACTTGCCCATCAGCTGGAGACTGGATAAAGAAAATGTGGTTTTCTTTGTAAAATGGAGTACCTCTCAGCCATAAAAAATGAGAAATTAGAGACATTTATAGCTAAATGGATGCACACTGAGGCGATACTTTAAGTGAAATGAACAGGACACACGTGTAAATACCGAATAGCTTCTCTAATGTGAGAAACTAAAAGTGTAAGGACTAAAAGGTATAATAGATAATGTGAAATTGGAAGAAAAGGGGCAAAGGGGAAGTGGGAGGGGAAGGGGAAAGGAAAGAAGGGAATGGAATTAATATGAGAAAATGAAAAAATAGAAACAAAG